TTTTTTAGTGGAATAGGCCTACTGGGGAAACCACTTGAAAAAAACGCGTCAACAATAGTACCTCAGAGGTGATGTGGAAAACTGTTGTTCAATATTGTAATTATCATACTGTAATAATTGTCAAAATTATATCATTATAGAATATATATACATAATATGCTAATAATAAAAAAATTTGTTCAAATAAAAATAACGTAGAAAAAATATATTTTAAAGATATTTGTTGGAAGATGTACTCCCAGCATACTGGAAAGTATCGCGACGCTCCTGAGGCACAGCGTCACGTGACGCTCGGCCGCCGAGGCTCGAGTAGTAGTGGGGAGACAGTAGGCGTCGCCTCAGAAATCGGCCCGAAATGTGCAACTAATTCCGAGCACTGATATAAACCATAATGTATGTATGTATGTATGTATGTAGTGACGTATGTAGGTACGTATGTAGGTACGTATGTATGTAGGTACGTATGAAGGTACGTATATACATAGATTCATGGTAGAAAGAATACATAGGAAGTTGCGATAAAACTTGTCTCGACAGGTTTGCAATTCTTGGAAAGAGAATTTATCCTCTCTCTCTTCGATTTACCCCCTCTCTTCAATTACAGAAGTATTACAGTACAATTTAATACGCTGATGTGATCAGTCTTGCTATACCCGCTTGCACGAACGGGTAAAACGGTTCAGCTTTTACTTCGCCAAAGAGAGCAGCGCGTTGTGCGATAATTAAAAATCCTTTCCGAATCTGTCTTCAATGATCTTCTTGCATATGGCCTTATTAAATAATGTTTCAACGGGAAAGCTTCATCTGCTACAAAAGCACATGGTAATGCATTTGATGTACCAGGAAGAGTTGTTGGAGGTGGCAGATCAGCAGTCTGAGATGCCAAACTTTTGCCAAGTTCACTATTTGCCCACACTCCACCATCGCTGTTTGACCCTGTACATATAAATGCTTTTTTATTCCTTTATATATACATCTTATTAGAATATACTATAATTATTATGTACCATAATACTAACCATAGTCGCCAACATCAACCCACGTAAATTTGTAATTTGCGTCACAAGTGGCCATCAATATAAAACTATACATTTTTTTTATAGTTGTAATGCATGGAGTTACTATTCGGAGGTGCTTGAATTGAGATGTGTTTACCATCTAACGCCCCAATACAATTAGGGAAATTCCATTTATTATAAAACTCATTCATTATCTCTGTCCATCTCTCTTTTTTTGGCCGTGGTAGATATTCTTTTCGAAGGGCTTTCCAGATAGCATCACATATTTCTCCAATAATTTTATGAGCTGTTGATCTGCCAATACGATATTTCCATGACTTTGATCTCACGCTATCACTATGAGCTAAGAACCTGTACATGAAAGAATATTTAAAAAATCATAATTACATCAACTAATAAATTAATAGATGAGATTATGCTACTTACTGTAAGGTTACTGCCAATCGCTCTTCCACTGATATTGGTGTTCGATTACTCCTTTTCGTAAGATATAATCTTACTCTGTCGCACAATTGATCAAACTGTTCTGGAAGCATTCTTGTCATGCTGAAAAATTTCTCGTGATCTGTTTCATATACTTCACGAAACAGATTATTAAAAAATCCTTGTTTTGTTCTAACCCGGTTTATGGGACGCACCCACCATCGACATTGTTTTACATGATGTTTTTTGTTTTTCATATGCAAATACATTAATTGCAAATGAATATGAAAATCAAGAGGAACAATGAAGAAATTAATGCTTGAAAATTCATTATTAAAACGAGCACCCGATCCGAGTGGTTCTTAAACGATTCCTGTCAATTCCCGCGCTTAGCGACTTATTGTAGACAGTATATATATATACGACTGCGCCTCCATCTAGGCGATTTTGAAACTGCATCTACGACTTCTATGTAGACGAGCCTTAACGCGCGCGGTCCGTCGGACGCGGTCCTCCCCGCCGCGAGGTCCGTCGGGCGCGGTCTGGCCCCCACCGC